AATTAATAAAATTTATCAAATTTTATTTATAATATTTTTAAAAAATAAATAATTAAATATTAAAATAATATTTAATCACAGTTACAGTACAATAAAATTTAACATAGTTATAACCACAATTATAACCACAATATTTCGCAATAATACCAAACGCATCATAGATTTCGATTTTTTGAAAAAATTAATACAAAAATAATTTTTTATAAATTTTTCATTTTTAGTGTACACTAAAAAAAAAAGTTTCAATTTACATTAATCCCAAAAAAAAAACAAATGGAAGAAGAAGAAAGAAGAAGAGAGACAGAGGGAAATGACATAGAACCCCACGGTTAGCCAAGCTCGTCTGGAAAATGCTTCTCTCCAGTCTCCACATTTCAGAAGCAGGTGGGGACTGAGAAGTGAGAAATGGCGAATTCCAAGTCCCAGAAAACCGTTTTGCTTCTCTGTGGAGACTACATGGAAGACTATGAGGTGTCGTACTCTCTCCTCCAATCATTGGCGTTCTTCTTCTTCGCTCCTAACTTCTGATTTTTCTGTTTCTGAAATTTGTTGCTTTGCAGGTAATGGACCCTCTCCAAGCACTGCTGGCTTACGGTGTTTCCATCGATGCCTTTTGCTTCGGAAAGAAGGCCGGCGATATCTGCCGCACCGCCATTCATCAGCCTCACGGCCATCAGGTCGTTTCTCTTTAGAAAGAAAATTAAGTCAGATGAATATTTGTTTCGATGCCGCTCTCCATTCAATTTAGAATAATTTTAATTTTTTTTTGAAAATTTTAATTAATAATATTCTGTGATAAATCTTTTTAGTATTATTTTTATTTGATGGAATGGAAACTGGCTTTGATTCTTGCCCTGCAGTTGTTTGTTTCTATTTTATTTTCTGGTGGGTGGTAAGGAATAAAATTATTATTATTATTTTAAAGAAACTCTGCATTTCTCTATCAATTTATTTAGTTTCATTAGCTTTTTCTTGTTTCTGGTATGTAGGATGTTTACATTTTCACTGGTTGCAGACTTATTTCGAGTCATGGGGTCACAATTTTACTCTCAATGCAACTTTTGATGAAATTGAAATAAGAATTATGATGGGGTTTGTTATACCAGGAGGATGGGCTCCTGAATGTCTTGCAATGGATTCGTTTGTAGTAGACATAGTGAGGAAATTCTCTAATTCTCAAAAGCCAATTGCCTCTATTTGCCATGTTCAATTGATATTGGCAGCTGCTGAGGTAGTTAAAGGTTGTAAATTCACTGCATTTCCTACTGTCAGGTCTGCAATTATTGCGGCTGGTGCATTTTGGGTGGAACCTGAAAACAATGCAGCTTCTGTTCTTGATGGTAATATCATTTCTGGGGCTACCTATGAGGGACATCCTGAGTTCATTCAGCCTTTTGTGAAAGCACTTGGTGGCATTATAACTGGTGCAGGCAGACAAAAGTATTCTGTTTCTCTGTAGTGTAAGTTCAAATTTCATTGCATCAATTCCAGTTCAAATTCAATTTAACAAATTAACAGAATCATTTTTTAACATATTACCTTGAGTTTAGAAATGGTCTGAAACTGCAATTTTAAAACAGCAGCAGAAGAAGAAGGGTCCAGTATTGAAAAATATATATGTGAACTGTAAAAGAAATTTTTGCTAACGATATACTAGTTTCCTTTTGTTATGTAGTGATAGCATTTTTTTATGAGTTGCTCTGAAACAGTTGCTTAATGCCATTGTTTTTGTCCTCATTTTGCAGGATTTCATGGAAATCATAAAGTAACAATACCTTTTCCGTCTCTTCAAGCTCTGGAATGCCATCCTGATAGGCTGATACAGTTTGCCAAAAGAAGAAGGCTGGCAACACTTGCCGAACTGCTGTCCATGATTTTGAAGCTGACCAAACTTACAGTGAGAAGCCAGGCCATCTTTTCACTCTTAACAGCTAATTTTCAGGATATAGATGTCTCAATGCACTAGTGATTCCAGGGGGTCGAGCACCAGAATATTTGGCATTAGATATGTCAATGCTTGCTTTAGTGAAGAAATTCATGGAGTCCTGGAGACTAGCGGCATCAATTTGCCATGGACAACAGATTTTAACTGCAGCAGATTTACTGTAGGTAATACTTCTGAGTTCTGACTTTGCTCCTAAGAAGGAACTTGTATATTAACTATATATACAATTTCTTGATATATATGGACCATTTTTGATTAACTATATACATACCTTGTATATTTCGGGTGTGAAACACAATTAGAATAAATTCGATACCCCATTTGGTTCTTGGAGATATGTGGAGAAAATAGTATTGAAGGTTGGAGAATGAATGGAGATGGCATTCATTTTCATGGGAATAATCTAATTTCCCTTTTTCTTTCATACTCATTTCTAGGGGTAAAGTCTAGTACAAAACTTCAAGAAATCATGCCAACTAATACATTTCCCATAGTCCCCTAGTAGACCATTTTTATCAGCCATGAAACATTCCATAATAGCCCAAGGGCAGGATTAAATTTATCCTCTCCTAACATATTTTATTGTAAAAGAAGAGCTTAGGAAGAGTAGAGTAACTAATTTCTGCTTGGTATGCCAGATTTAACACATCATATATAAAAGTTGGTGGATTTTCCAATTTAGGCCTTCTACAGGTCACTAGCTTATCCAATTAGAAAAAAAAAATTTTCATTTTCTTGTTTCAATTGACTTCCATCTTTGCAATCAACAAATTTTGTGGAAATAGTTTTCCTGCCTTCCTTGACTTTGCATTGTCCATCAGGGAAAGAAATGTACCGCATACCCTGCTGCAAAACTGAAGACAATCTTGTCTGGAGCAACTTGGTTAGAGGTGAATCATATTTGATCATTGCTTCACTGATGGAAATTTGGTTACTGGAGCTGGTTGACTAGGTCGCCCTGAGTTCATTTTCGCAGGTAATGAATCTGCATCGCATCAAGGTATCTTTTTAGTTGAAATCCTCACCTTGCTGATAGTGAAATTGTCTCATCCCATATACTTTTAATTAAATATTTTCAACTTTTTTGAATAGGTGGCCTTCTTTGTACATTAAATTTTGTCTGTTTTATAAAGCAAATTTTCCTTTTGACTGGACCTAGAAAATGCCAATAAGTTGGTATGCTGCCTTGCTTGTGGGGAAAGAATCCAACGTGTTCTTTGACTGTTAGTGCTACAAGAGGATGGTTATGGCCGCCCCATAAATTTTTGGAGTCATTTAATTTTTTTATCTTAATAAATAATTAATTATGATAATAAAAAACATTAATGTATAAATTGATTTTAATATATTAAATAATAAATATTAATTATTTTATTAATTATTAATTAACAGTTATAGTTATTAACTATTTTTAATTGTCAATTTGAATAGAATAAATACTTTAAAAGACAAAATTTAAAACTTTAGGTGGGTCTAACTATTTATTTGGTGATCATAACTATTTCCTACCTTTTGTTTTTGACAACAAAAAAAAACATCTATAGGCTTTCTTACATAAATTCTCAAAATCGTTCAAGAAGATAGAATTGCCTGTAGTTAATTTTTTTTAAAAAAATTGTTACATAATAGGAGTCAATTATCTTTTATTCTTCATTTTTTATCTTTTATTTTACTCTACCTACATATTATGCGACTCAAATTCAAAATATTTTATTTTTAATGAAAAAATATAATTACTAAATTATTTAAATCATTAACATAACTTAAAACTTTTTAAGTAAAATGCCAAAGAAAGTATAGTCCCTCTTGCACCAGAAAATTATGGAACTTTTCATTTTATTTTGTATAATCGAGAACCTGGGAAAAGTATACTAAGAATTCATAAGGAATGAAACCCATTCATCTTGGAATGGAACCCATTCAATAAGGCGAAGGAGAACGTCTCTTGTTGGTTTCAAAATTTTCATTATTCTTCGTAATTAAATTAAATAAAATAATTTTTTAATTACTCGTACTAGTTCGGAGCTGTTTCATTGATAATTAGATAGTGATAATAATGTCTGAAAGGAATGAATGTAGACATTATTACTCGTACTAGGTCGGAGCTGTTCCCCTGAATTAAATTAAAGAATATACCCTACAATTTATATGTTTTTTTTTTTTTGAACATGTACAATTTATAAGTTTTTAAAGTAATATGATGTAAAAAAATTAATTATTAAATACCAATATGATTATAGAATTCTTTACTATTTAAAATAAGTAATTAACA